ATAATAAAAATAATAATAATAATAATAAAAATAATAATAATAATAATAAAAATAAAAATAATAATAATAATAATAATAACAAAATATAATATATAAATAAAATGATGATTGATAACAGATTAGATGTAGCAATTTATTATTATTTAATATCAAAAGGAATGTCAAAATCCGCAATAACATTTCTGCAAGAATCACATTTAGGTGTAAATAGTTTAAACTCTATACCAACAAATTCACTAATAAAAGCATGGGAAAACTATACAGCTCATTTTTTAAATCATCCACATCAACCACATCCTCCAAACAACAATGTTTCACCCGAAATAAATAATAATGGCAATAGTAATAGTAATAGTAATAACTTACCAATATTTGGTTCACAAAATGGAAATCAACCAAATAACTCTAGTTTTTTATACCAAGTTAACTCTTTACCAAACCAAATCCCTAATGTTTTTTTACAAAACACTCCACAAAATACACTTAACTCCACTTCACCACACTCCGTAAATAATAGTTCCACTTCACCAAACACATCATTAAATAGTAATGATAATAATAATAATAACCCGAGTAACAATAGCAATAGTAATAATAATAATTCTGTAAATAGTCATATTTTAAATAATATAATGGAAAATAATTCATCGACATTAAATTTATTTTCAAACCCTGTAAATAGTAATCATAATAATAGTATATTTTTTAATACACCACAACAATTAAAGCACACAGATAAAAGTAATGGTTTAGATATACACACTTCAAACAATCATTTGTTAAATGGTAATAATAGTTTAGATAATCAATTATTACATAACATATCTTGTAATATAGATCATATACATAATCATCTTTGTAATATATTTATCCCACCAGGAGGTGATAAAGGTAACCTACACCAACATCAACATCAACATCAACATCACCACCATAATCATAGCCATCAGCATCAGCATGGTCATCAACATGGACATCATCAACATAATCATCCACACAGCCATCAACACCATCAACAAAGTTTAAATGGTATTAGTATAAATCAACAAATTCCACTACAATTACCAACATCACAACAACCAAGAACACCACCACAACAAAATTCATTGCTTTCATCATCGCCAACATCATTAAACATTAATACAACAACTACTACAACAACCTCAAATATGCCATCCACACTATTAACCTCAACTATTAACTCACCAAGTAGTCCATTGGATATCGATTTAAGTACAGTTACTACACTTAGTTTAGATATTATTAATCTTAGTAATGAACAAATTTTAAATTCAAATTTGGTTACCAAAAGTATTGGCGAGGATAGACAAGAGAAATTTACATGCAATTTCCAAGGTTGTGGAAAATCATTTTCAACCATTGCCATTTTCAAAAGACATTTGAAAGAGCACACAGGAAGTAAGCCATTTGTTTGCACAGAAGAGGGATGCACCAAAAGATTTTCTAGAAAATTCGATCTCAAAGTTCATCTTAGATCACACACTGGTGAAAAACCATATCCATGTACCTTCCCTGGTTGTTCTAAAAAGTTTGCACGTTCATCTGATTTAAGATTACACCAAAGAATTCATTCGGGCGAAAAACCTTTTGCTTGTGACTGCGAGGGTTGCTCTAAAAGATTCATTCGTCAAGCTGACCTTAAAAAGCATAAAAAAACTCATCAAGTCCAAGACAGTAACCATCCACATCGTCACGAATTGGGTTGTGGTCACACCGCTATTGCTCACGATGGTCATATTGACTTTTTACACGATAAACACTTGCATTCAGTGCATCAGGATCATATTGATGATCATAGTATAGGTGTTACAGAAACAAATCCCTCAAATTGTACTCCCTCCTTTGTATGTAGCCACCACCCAGATGGTTCTTCTCATTCATTAGATTGTGGTCATGAAATTGTTCCACATTTTGATCACTATGACTTTTTAGTCGATGGACATCTACATCATGTTCATGACGGCCATTGTGATAACCATGGTTGGGTTGAAGTAATTAAAAATAATAGTAATTAATAATAATAATAATAATAATAATAATAATAATAATAATAATAATATAGCAATAATAGTTTACATAATAACTCATTTGTAATAATTAATTAATCACTCATATTTTAAAATAATTTTTTAATTTTTTTTTTTCAAACAAAAAATTATTTTTAAAAATATAATTATCACTTTAACAATATTACAATATTTAAATAATATTTAACCATATACATATTTATTTTCAATATAAAATCAATAAAATATAAATTTAAAATTTAAATTTATAATGATAATCCATTTCCTTTTTTTTAAAAAATTATTTTTATTGTTTTTTTGAGTAAAATGAATATATGTGTAAAAATTTATATATAAAAAAAAAAAAAAAAAAAAATTGCAATTTATATTATATAAATAAATTTTGAAGAAAGAAAAAAAAAAATAGATTTTAAAAAAAAAAAAAGTAGATTTAAAAAAAAAAAAACAATATATTTAATATATTGTTAAAGGTTTATTATTGTAATAACTAAATAAAATAATCTATTCAATTAAAACACCGATGATGTGACCAACATTTCTACCACAATCACGGAAGTTTCTTGATTTCCAGTTAGCAACACCATTACGGAAATCGGCAGTTAAATCTCTACGGTTTCTAAAGATGATGATACTTTCTTTAACGAGGAGCTTGATGATACCGGCAGTACCTGATTTTAATTGTTCTGAGATTTCTCTAATATCGTCAATAAGCTTTGGAACTTGGCAAACATCAAAAGCACGGATGATTTCTTGTAAAGCAGCACCTAATTTTTGGATACCAACTGATAAAGCACCAATACTCTTTCTTTGGAAACCTTCTTCGATTAATCTGAAACTATCTTCAAAGTCTTTGAATGAGTGACGAACATTAGCAAAACAATCTGCACTATTTTTGTTAATGGCAATTTCAATACCTTCAGCAAAACCAATAATGAAGTCTCTGAATTCTAAAGCTGAACCAATTTCTAAATCGTGAATGAACATTTCATCGGTGTAAGCTTCACCCCATTGTTGGATGAATTCTGGGTTGTTAAGTAATGATTCAAGCTCTACTAAAGTATAACCAAAACCGGCTTTGGTATCAAATGAAATTTGATAATCATCAACAGTGTTGATTGTATTTATTGAAAAAACACTTGAAACTAAAACATTAAATAAAATTACAAATAATAAAAAGTTATGAGCTTTCTTCATTTTGTGGTTTTTTTGAATTTGAATGAAAAAATAAAATTGTTATAATAAAAATATAAAATTAATTTGATAATAAACATAATAAATAGGAAAAAAATATTAGAAAAAAAAAATATTAAATAATAAATATTATTGTTTTTTAAAAACTAAAAAATAAACCAAAATAAAATATACCAGAAAAAATTAAGTAAAATAAAATTTACTGTTTAAAAAAATATTAAAATTAAAAAAAAAAAAAAAAAAAAAACAGGTTAATAATACATATAAGATGACCTTTCGTTATTTAAACAACAAACTAAAATAAAATAAAATCAAAGTACCCAAAAACCATCAATTTAATCCCAGACCATGGTGGTTTTCAAAAAAATTTGAAAAAAAACTGGTAAAAAAATTTTAAATTTTATTAAAAAAAAAAAAAAATTTTAATTTATCCTGGCTAAATTATATATTACCTGTTTTTTATATTTGATTATAACATTTTTTTTTTTAAATAATTATCTTTTTTATTGTAATATTTTTTTGTTCTTTAACGATACCAAAAAAAAAAAAAAAAAAAAAAAAAAAAAAAAGAAAAAAATAAATAAAAAAAATAAAAAGAAAAAATAAAAAAAAAAAAAAGAAAAAAAAAAAGAGGGGGTCTTCTAAAAAAAAAAAAAAAGTTTTTGCTTATTTTTTTTTTATATTTTTGGGTTTTTCTATTTTCTGTGAATTATAATATTTTTTTCTTAAATATTTTTTAATTTTTTATTTCTTCGGACTATTTTTTTTATTTTTTTTACTTTTTTTTTTTTTTTTTTTTTTTTTTTGGTATCCATCAAAAATTTAAAAAATTAAAAAAAAGTAAGAAATTCTCAACTATTTAAACTTTGTTTAATTTACATTTCATTTCATTTCATTTCGTATCTCAAATATATAAATAAATATAAAATATTAAATAACGAAAATTTATTGTAATAGAACCACCTAATTAATTATCAAAATGTCAATTGAAGTCTATGAATTATCTTGCGAAAGAGAAGGTTCAAACCGTGTAAATATGTTTGGTAAACCACCATCAAGCACTATGACCCCTCCAGTTTCAAATCCAAATGGTAAAATTATTTTCAATTCCTAATTTATCAAACACAAATCCATATGGATAAATCATCCTATTGAATTAAATAATAATAAATAATAAATAATAAATAATGCATTTACTATATATTATCAATCAAAAAAAAACCACATATTTTTTATTTCATAGTTTTTTATATTTGTTTATTTTTTTTAAATTTTTTGTAATAAAGATTTCACCTTTAAATAAAATGTCAATTACTCCACCAAATGATTGGTCAAAGTAGTTAGAATCAAACACTCATCGGACTCTATTCTATCAAACACAGAAATTAACATGTGTAGAAAAATGTATTGTAAATTTACTTTCAAGTGACCAATTAAATTCAAATATTAATAGTTATAAATTAAAAAAAAATAGAAATAAAAATAAAAATAAAATTTAATATTTTTTTAAAAAAAACTATTAATTTATTAAAAGAATTTTTTTTTATAAATTGTTATATTTATTTGTAATAATTATATATTGTTACTAAAGAAATATACTATTTGATTTAAATTTAAATTAATATATTTATTTTTATTTAATTAAAAAAAAATAAATAATTAATTATTTTTTTTGCAAAATTTATTAAAAGAGAAAATTCTGTGATTGATGAGAGAAAGTAAAACTGGTAATAATACTAAACCGTGAAGAGCTGATAAAATGATAATGGCCATATATTGTCTGAAATAATAAACCACGAAAATCTCAGAGTTGCTAAAACCTAAAACTGATACACCTAAAAGTTTGGTAAAGAAAATGCCATTTATAATTGAGCTACCCATTTCGCTAATTGAATAACGTACTCTCTTATTTCTACTGAAGTGATCTGGAGCCTTTATATATTTGAAAGCAATATGGACACTGAATTCAATTGCAATACCAATTCCCATTACAATGTTTACAACTGAAATTGCATTTAAGCTTATGTTCCAAAGAGTCATAACACCGAGTAGATTGACAACACATAGACCAACAGAAATAACAACTAATAGAGCAACCACTACATTCATTAGTAGTACTAAGCTAACCAAAAAGACACCCGCCAAAGCCAACAAAATAGTTTTTAGTGCCACCTGTTCAATTGTTAAATATTGTTCGAAAAAGGTGAATACAATTGAGTAAGAGAAAATATCCATATTTGAATGATCTGAAATATATCTAACTGTTTTGAGTGCATTGATAAAGTCATTTTGAGTTCTAAGTGGTGTTAAATAGCCATCAAAACGGGATGCAAGTATTTTACCATCTTTGTAGTTTACATCAGACGTATAGGCGAAACCGGCTAATGGGCACTGATCTGTGTTAGGGGATCCAATAAAATCTGGGAGGTATTTATAGAATAGATCTGGCGAAGGTCTTCCATTATCGTTGATAGAGAAGCATGGTTTACATGAAGGGTCACCATTACAAAAAGTACCATTCTCATAAGCATAGCAACAAGATTGGATTTGGGTCCATGATAAATAATCGTCTAGCCAACTGGAGATACCACTTGTAATATAAGGAGCACCGTTAAATAAATTTACTACAGAGTTATTGTTGCACCCACCTATTGTACAAAATTCATTTTGAACAGAGACATTTGAAAAATCGTAGCCACCTCTTGAAACTATATACATTGGGGGACCTACTTCCAAATATTTATTCATTTGGGTAAAGTAACCTTGTAAATAACTATCTCTGGGTAATGCTATTCTTTGGTCTAATCCCAATGTAATTTGATAGGAATAATTGATACTTGTTAAAAGCATGGCAACAAAGATGATAACTACAAATAGTTTAACCAATGGGTTCATTAAAAATGGAGCATAATATTTTTTAAATAAAACTTGAAGCAATGTTGATTTCTTTTTAATTGGTTTTACTTGTTGATTTCTTGGTATAATACCATCCACTACATTCAAAGCATCTGAATCTTCTAGTAGCCCATTTTCATCCTCTTCATTGAAAAGTGGCTTCTTTTCATCTTCATCGTCAGAGTTTTCTGTATCATTTAGTCTAATACATGGGAAGCAATCGATTCTTCTAGATTGTGTACGTTTGCAATCCAAAACAAGTAGGCAGGAAAATGCGGTAATTTGCAAAAGAAAATCAAAGAAAACTGCGATTGATGCATAAAATGAAAAAGCTTGGACTGCAGGCATATTCGTAAGGGAACCTAAAAGGAATGCTAGTGATTCACTAAGAGATGCTAAGGCAATTGATGGACCAACCTGTGATAGAGTTTTGGCTAATGATTCCTCAGGAATTGGATTAATTTGTTGACCACTTGGACTATATCTTGTAATATGAATCGATTCAAAAGTATTTACAATAATAAATATATTATCTACACCAATGGCCAATACCAAGAATGGGATAACTTCCGAGATAATTAGAGTTGCATGAATATTTAAAATTGAACAGATACCAACAGAAATAATAATTGAGCAGGCTACAATAACGATTCCAGACAAGCCCAATGCAAATCTTGAACGTACAAAGAATGATGAAAATCTACGTGGGAATGGATAGTAGCTTCCGAGAGCTAAGGAGATATATAAAAACATTACAGAGTAACTGATGATAATTGTTGGAATATCAGCTTCACTTTCACGTGATAATTCGTCTTGAACAGATCTTTGTGCATTGTATGTGATATAAAATAGAGATGTTTTGTTTTGTGTGTACTCTTGAACCTTTGCAATCCAAACATTTTCCCATGCCATTGCTGTGTCTACCATTGAATTTGGGTTGTTTAAAAGAAAAGTAACAACAAAAGCTTTTGCTTGATATGCTTCTTCTTTCCAGCCACCCAACACAACCTTTGGTAATACTGGTGTTCCGATAGTATCCATACAGCTCGGAAGTAATGGATTTGATTGGCAATTAATGAAATAGTCGGTTATATTTGTTGTGGTTTCTAATACCTTTAAGCTTCTTTGCCAATATGCACTGACACTTTCAACCAAGCATCCCTTTTTTGTAGGTTCGAAGCACAATGTATCTAGTGTAACATTTTTTCCTTTATAAACAGTTGATAATGACATCAACTCTAGTTCCATTGTAATTAACTCGGTTAAAAGATCTTTATAAAGAACTGATGGATATTTCTTAGTATCTTTTGGTGTAATGATCATTTGTTGGACTCTATAGAATGGACCAAAGTTTTCGTCAAAAAATGCTTTCTCTTGAGCTGATCTACTTTGAGGGGATACCCATAGCTTAACAGGATCTTCTTCAATTCTTAATTTCATTATGCCTATACCAATACAAGCAGTAAAAACTAGACAAAGAATTAAAACTAAAATTGGCTTAGATGTGACCTTAATTCCATACCAATAGAAAAACTTCTGAATAAAATTTGAAAACTTAAATTGTTCATCTTGAATTCGAGGCTCTCTAAAATAATTATTATCTCTGATTGATGATCCATTATCATAATCTTCTTGAATATTATTTGATCTAATAACGGGTGATAAATCTGAATCTGAATCGCTATTGTTTATGCCTCTATTATTTATTGGTAATGGTAGTCTATTATTATTTTGTAGTCTTTTATTTTTATCAATAATTATACATGCTATTATAACAATTGAAAGTATTAATAGTGAAAAAATAACATAAAGAGCTATTCCTAGCGCAAATGTGCAGTTCCATTGGTTTCCGTTTTCCATTTCCCATAAACAGGAGGTTTGGTCGTGTAATAAAACATCGCCAGTTGATAAAAATGGTATCAATATTGTACTGATAAAGATTAATGATAAAATTGAAATTACTATAATTTTGAAGGAACGATTAGAAAAATAATTATTCTTTATTACATATTTGAATATTAGCCATGCAGTTGAACCTAATAGTAAAGATAATAAGAATAGTAAAAATATCCATACAATCCAAACAGTAACATATGGTATTCTAAAAAAAAATATTAATATTTGGTGTTTATTATTATTAATGTAAATATATGATCTTACTCTATATTTAAGTGTGACTGTGGTATCGTACTATTTAATAAACCCAAATCTTTGTAAGATGGGGGCGGAATACATGCGTCGCTACATTGATCACATGAACATCTTTCGGAACACGGTAAAATTTCTGCATCATAGCCTTTTTCATCGAAAATCCAATTTAAAGCTTGAAAGGTAGGGTTATTAGGTGGTGAAAACAAACCTTTAAAAAAATCCATTGGAGTTTTGTACATTTCACCAAATTTTGGTGAACCACTAGTTTGAACATCTTTACATGAATTATACAGGCCTACTGCAAAGTGAGGGTGTAAATAAAAATCTATTTCTAAAATTTGCTCTGTTTTGTTGTCAACTTTAGTTGGTACCATAAATGATCTTTGGTATGGACTGCAAGAAGATGCACACCATAAACTATAGATATTGATCATACAAGACTGGCATCTACCAAAAATAGTTTGAGCTATTTCCATATTAACCTTTAATATTTTTGTTTGATCATAATTGCAACAAGATAATTCTGAATATTCTGGATGTGTGAATTGACAGGTGTGTTTTGATATATGTTGGTTTGACTTAAAAATTTAAGGTTAGTAAGGATATTAAAAAATGTAGTTAGGAATATAGATTAATTAACTTACCAATGGATCGAAATCCTTTTCCTCAACAAAACTTGAGTTTACACCATACATTGAGCATCCCTTGGTTGTATTATATGGAAAAGGCTGTTGAGAATTTACCACATTTTCACTATTAAATAGCAATATTTGTATTATAAAAAAATAATATAATAATATTAATAATTTTTTGATCATTATTTATAAAAAAATTATAAATATTTATTTATTTATTTATTTATTTTGTATTTATATTTATATGTATATGTATATTAGATTATTTATTATATTATAAAAAAGTGTGCTAATTATAATTATTATTATATTATTACTATTATAAATTATATGGTTGTGTGATGTGTATTCTCTTTGTATGAGTAGAAAAATATGAATGAATAAACAATAAATAGAGATAAAGACTATTGTGACATGAAATAATTAAATATGTTATAAAGTTGTAGAACAAAAAAATTAATAAAAAAAATTATATTATTTTAAAAAAACAAATTTTTTTTTTTTTTTTATTAATAAAAACAAATAATATGAATTTTGATACATTGTTTGAAATAATTAAATAGGTTAAAAAAAAAAAACACACTCCACCACTAAAAAGTAATTAGAGTGTGTGTTATATTCATATAAATAGAACACACACCCAAAACTATATTACAATATATTTTTAATTTTTTTATTTTTTTTAATATAGAAATAAGTTTTTTACCTTTTTTCGTTTTGACTTTAGTTTATATGAAGATATATATATATTATTTATATGAATAAATATATATAATATATAAATAAAATATTTATTTTTAAAATTAAAAAAAAAAATCTGATTATTTATTTTATTTCATCTATTTTCAAAAAAAAAAAAAAAATTATATTTTTTTAATTTAAAATTTTTTTTTTTTTTTTTTTTTTTTTTTATAAATTGTAAATTAACTAAAAATTATGAATATAGATAACGATCAATGTATAAAATGTAATGTGGAGGGTGATTATTTCATGAAACTGTGTGTTTTTGGAAAATGTAAAGGGGTAGGTGTAACATCACTAATATTAAGATTTGTTGATAATGTATTTATAGATAGCAAACCAGCAATACCAAACGATGTTAAAATAAAGGTATTAGAAGATAGAGGAATTTCAATAAAGATTCAAATATTCGATACTGGTAAAATAAAAAAGAAAAAAAAAAAAAAAAAAAAAATAATTAATTTTATTTACCAACTTTTATTTTTATTTAAACAGGGTTCAAAGATTTTAAAATAAACTATTTAAGAGGTGTCCATGGTTATTTAATAGTCTACGATATAACGAATAGAGAAAGCTTTGAACAAATTAGAAACATCACACAAGATCTAAAGACATATGGTAATCAATACACCAAAGAATGCTTCATTATAGTGGGGAATAAATGCGATTTGGAAAGTGATAGGCAAATTGAACTTAAGGAAGCTAAAGATTATTTTGAATCTATAGGCATTGGAGAATCTTTCTACGGAGAAGTCTCTTGTAAAAACCCAATAAATATAGACAACTCATTTCAAAAACTATTTAAAAAAACTTCAAATATTTTATACCCCCGAAATCTGTAATAATAAAAACAATAATAACTATAATAACTGTAATTTATTTAAATAAAATGAAAACTATTAATCTTAACTTTATAACACCTATAATTTTGATATTGGATCACTAATATATAATATAAATTAATAATTAATGAATGAAATAAAATTTAAATTATAAAAAATAAAATTTGTTTATTTAAATTTGTTTATTTAAATTTATTTATTACCAAAAAAAATATGAATAATTGTTTATTTCATTACCCATAACATCTAATTTTATCATTGCAGCCCTTAGAAGAACATTGACCACCTTTTTCTAAATAACGTTGATGGTATTCCTCAGCTGGATAGAAATGACCAGCTGGTAAAATTTCTGTAACGATTGGTACTTTATATTTCTTTTGTTCCTCTTCTTTGCTTTCGGTAGCCTCTTTTTTTTGTTCTTCACTATGATAATAGATGCCGGAACGATATTGTGAGCCATGGTCATTTCCTTTAGATAATATTAAAATTAATATTAATATCATAGAAATAAAATTAGATACAAAAATATATAATACATACCTTGACGATTTAATGTGGTTGGGTCGTGTTTACCCCAGAATAATTGTAATAACTCTTTATAACTTACCTCTTTTGGATCAAATTCTAAATCGACTGCTTCTGCATGTCCAGTTTTACCTATTATTATAAAAAAAAATAATAAATTAAAACATTATACATAAATTGTATCTTTGGGTTCCTTGAAATACCTACCACTGCAAACATCTCTATATGTTGGATTTTCTACTTGGCCGTTGCAATAGCCAACTCTTGTTTTTACGACACCCTTAACTCTTTGAAATAATAACTCGACACTCCAAAAACATCCAGCAGCAAAAGTAGCTCTTTGCATTTTTTATTATTTTATAATTAAATTTGAAATTAGGTTATTTAGTTTTTTAGATAATATGAAATAAAAATTTTGTTTTGAATTTAAATTAATTAAAATAAATAAATGAAAAAAAATTAAAATTTATACAATTTGTAAAAATTAAAAAATTTTAAAAAAAAATAAAAAAAATAAAAAAAATAAAAATTATTTGAAATTAATTATTTAAATTATTATTGAAGATATTTTGGTATTTAAATTAATAATTTGACTTTTTGATTAGAAGATTCCTTTAGAAAAAAAAAAAAAAAAATTAGGATTTGGAATATGCTTTTATTAAACTATTGATGAGTTTTTTTTATTTCTTTTTTTTAAAGTTCGCTAATGAAATAAAAATAATTATTTTACTAGCTGTAATATTTGAAATAGTTAAATATCCATGGAGTATTTTTATTTTAATTTTATACCCAATGAGGATATGGTCAATTGACAATATCTAGGTTATTGAATACCGATGGCTAAAATTCTTAATTAATATTATTTTCAATTTGTTTTTTATATGCAGCAATTAATTGTATATAATTTAAGGGAAGAAATAAACATTACTAGCGAGTTTTAATTAAAATTTTTATTAAAAAAAAAAATTAAAATATAAAAGGTGTTGTGTTTCAATTATAATAATAATTTCTTTTTTTTTATTTCATATTTATTTGTTTGTTTTTTAAATTTTTTTTTTTTTTTTTTTTTTTTTTTTTTTTTTTAAATTTTAATATAATTTATTTTATAAAAATATACACATAACAAGCATAATTATTTGGCTAGCTGTAATAAATAATACCCGAACCAACGGAGCCAAAAATGATGGCAATATTTTTTGAACATCCATTTGTCACAATCTATAAACTTTGAATTTCCCATATAATCACCACAATCCATTTTGTGCATAGACTATTACAATAACCTGAAAGTAAATAACGAAAAAAAATTTTAAAAATAAATTAATAAAAGTCGGGTTAACCTTTGCACCATTCTTATTGAAGGGGTAAGTCAAAAATTCTTGGTTAGCATTTACAAAAAATCATTGATTATTACCCTATATAAATTAAATTAGTATTTTATTTATTTGATATATTTAAATTTTGGTACTTTCAAAAAAAAAAAAGAAATAAAACAAAATAATATTGCTGTTATTAAATTAATATGTCTATGGTTTCACCTTCTTTTTTATAGAATTACCTAAAAATTAAAATATTTAAATTACTATTGAATCTATGCAAATTAACCATAAAAATACAGAGAATATTAAACATATTAAATAAATTTGATTCTTTTCTGAACCACTGTTAAACCCTATTTTAATTTTTCCATCTGTATATTTAATGATTCCCCAAGTTGTTGTTGTTTATATTTATAATAATAACCAACAAAAACATGGTTTCCTCTATCAAACTCCTGCTCTCTATACAATAACAGAAAACCCTAAAAGTTAATAAATAAATCTAATGAAATCTAAAATTTTAAATTTTTTCATTCCATAAAATAAAAGATAATTTTAATAAAAAAAAAAAAGTGAATAAAAAAATTTTAAATAAAATTCAATTTTATTATCATATTATTATAAAATCAATAAAATAGTATAAAAGTCGAACAAAATTGGATATTTTCATTAAAAAAAGTACTATATTGGTTCTCGGAGAAAAATAAAAAAAAAAAAAATTAAAAAAAAAAAAAAAAATTAACAAATTTTTAAAAAAATTTTTTAAAAAGTTATCAAAAAAAATTATATTTTCGTATTTTTTTTTGCCCGGCCATTTTTTTTTTTTCACAAACCAAAATAATTTATATATTTATAAATTTAATATATAAATATATAATATAAAAATATTTATATATTTAAAAATTTATATTATTTTGTATTATTTATAAAACCTTTTTTTATATTTATACTTTATATATAAAAAAAAATTTACAAATAAATTTTTTTTTTTTTTTTTTTTTTTTTTTTTTTTCGTATTTTTTTTTTTTATTATTATCACCATCACCAACTTAGAGTGTATAATGATCAATAAATTCCAGAATAGTAATAATAATAATATAAAAAGAATTTTATTAAATCAAAGAAAAATATTAATATCCAATTAATTTTTATATTTACTCTCTATAGTATACACTTTTTTATATTTACAATAATTCTTTTTTTTTTTTCTATAAATTTAATCAATTAGTTTTTTATCCAACATATATTTACATTCCTTCAGGTTTATACATATGTAAGTTTTTATCATTATTTTTATTGACTTTAAAACACACAATTTTATTATTTTATTTTTTATTTTTTGGGTTTTTTATTTTTTATTTTTTGGGTTTTTTTCTTTTTCTTTTTCTTTTTTTTTTTTTTTATCTGTGTAAAATAAACCCTTTGTGCCACAAGTTTGTATCCTCATTAAATAAACCTTTGTTTTTAAAAAAAAAAAAATATAATTATAATAAAGAAGATCTAGATTCTTTTTTTTTTTTTTTCTTTTTTTTTTTTTTTAATTGTTTAAATCTCGTATTAACAAAATATATTTTGTGAAACAATATTATTTTATTTTATCTTTTTTTATTTATATTTTTTATTTATATTTTTTTTTTCTCACATAATTAATAATATAAAGTCCAAAATTTATATTAAAAAAGCTTTTAAACTTTGTTTATTATTTATTTATTTATTTATTTATTTATTTATTTATTTTATTGTGCTAAAATTTTATCATTTTGTTATATTTAATATTTAT